AGAAGGATAGAACGAGGGGCCGCAGTACTCGAGCAAAGCTGGCTGAAGGCGGCTTTGGGGGGTGGGAAGGGGTGAAGGGGCAAGGGAGGGGACCGTGCTATCGCTTGCTCATCCAGGGCGAACTGATGCGATGTGCTCGAGTACCGTACTCGAGTGGTTGTCTCAGTGAATGGTTGGTCCCGGTGGCGGTGGTGGGGCTGGGGAGCCGGGCTCATCACAGCTGCGGTACCGGTGCCGTACGGTACAAGTACTCGTGCGACAGCATTTTGTTAATTTTCCTCTTTCCCCCTTAATCAAGGCACCAGTGCAGTACCGTATAATGGATGACAAGAGCGCTACGGTGCCGGGGCGATGCCGTACCGTCAAAAATCAGGCCGAGTCTCGATGGTCTCGCCCTTGCTGGAGTGGTACGATGTGGCGGTACTCGTAGCTTATACTTGTAGTATCACACGGTAAGCCTTCCCTATCCCTCGTCCCTCCAGAAATCGTTTGCGCTCGCCCCTAAGCATGTCGATCCCTTCGCCCTACACGAGACGAGAATGGACGGGCTCCAGTAGGAGGAATCACGGGGCCGTGCCGGCACCGTCCCAAGCCCCGCTGCTAGGCAGGCTTTGGTGGTTTGTTTGACAGGGTACGTTTTCTTTTCCCTTCTTTTTCCCTCCTTCTTTTCAGCTGGTCCGCGCTTCTAGGCTGAAGCGCAGGAGTCTGGAAGCCTACCGCTTTAGTCTGCCGCATTCGCTGTTGATCTACCAATCCAACCCTCTCCTCTTTCGGGATCCGGATATTGCGCAGCATTGCACCTTGTCCTCTTCCTCTCCTTTCTTCCCCCCTCTCTCTCCCTTTCCCTGTCTTTCACTTCCCAGCTGCTGCTCCTCTTATTGTTGCTGTTGTCGCTGTTGTTGTTGTTGTTCGTGATCTTAGTGCTTATTTTGGCTGGCGGGATCGCCGAAGCGATGCAATGCGATGAGGGAGCTAAATTACTCGAGCATCCAATCGGTCCAGTCTTCCCCGGTCCAGACCGGTCCAATCCGTGCCTTTGGGCTCGATTGTACTCGTACTTGTCGAGCACTCGTACCGGTATAATAATAGTCGCACCTCAGCCCAATCTAGCCCGTTCTTTCACCCATCCATCCGCAATAGTCTATCCAATCTCACCGTTGGCCGCTGTCTCTCATGCGTACGAGCACAGGAACAGGAATAAGGCTGCAGGGTTTTTCATTTTCATTTTTTTTTTCATCGGAGGGGGGGAGGGGGGGGTGCAGACAGAGTGTGCTTGTACTCGAGTACCTGCCGCCGTTAAGGGTACATGCGATGGGTGTACTGTACTAGTACCGCGCAGGCGGTATACTAGTACATAAAGCGGTGCACTTTTCGCCTATTTTTCCTTCCCCTTCACCTACGGGTATTAATTAATTAATTCGCAAAAGTATCATACTTGTTCGAGTACGGTACGGTATTGCGCCTCTAGAGTACCGACACCTTATTTCTACATATCCGGCAGGTAACCGGTACCGGATAAGCTTAAAAAGCGCCTTATAATGCTAGTACTTGTACCATTTAATACCTTAAAGGGGCAACGCGACGAAAGTAGTAATAATGGCGGTAATAGTAATAATAATAATAATGGTAATAATACAAGTGCCAGGGGAGATGTTTTCGTACAAGACAGGGATTATTTTGCGGGTTAACTTAAATTAACCGTGCGAAAACATTATCCCTGGCACTTGTAATAATAATAATAATAATAATAATAATAATAATAATAATAATAATGGTGGTAATATTAATTGCGTCATGATAATAATACTTGTAGCAAGAGAGGAAGGGGAGGAACAGGGGGAGGCCTCGAAATAGCGTCGCGACCAGCTCCTCCTACTCGAGTAACTTACTCGTGCAATTTGAGATTCAAGGCGCTAAAGCAGAGAAGGGAACGCTTGGGGGGGAGGGGGGGGGATTGCAATGAGTCGAGTCTAGCCATGACGAGTACTGTAATGTACCGACCGGTACCTTAACTTGTACGGTGCTCCTACTGTTACTATTCTGAGAAATGGAAGGGAAGGACTCTGAAACAGAAGGAGAGAGAGAGACAGAGAGAAAGAAAAAAAAGGGAAAACTCCCTCCTTCCCACCACCACCACCACCACCATACTACCGCTACCGGCAAAGGGAGATAAGGAAAGAACGAAATGGAAGAGGGGAAAAGAAAAGAAAAGAAAAGAAACGAAACGAAAAGAAAAGCAAGACAAAGCGCCGAAAGGAATTCGCACAAAACACAAAACACAATTAGGTACGAGTATCATGGTCAGGCAGATTCGGGGGCATGGTACGAGTATAGGTAGGGTGGTTCTGACTGCCTGCTTGTCTACCCTACAATCCGTGTGTGTGGTACGAGTGCCTTGGGTACGGTATCTACACTTGTCATATGATGGTGAGGTATTTCATACTCGTACGAGTACTCGAGCACCGGTACTGGTAAGCTCGTACATGTGTCGTGTGTGGGTATGGTGGGGTATGATAGGAATAAAGATAAAGGCATCATACTACTGGTAGTACTGTACTCGAGAACTGTACTAGTACAGGTATGTAAAAAATTAAAAAAAAAAGGAAAAAGAAAAAAAAAAGGAAAGAAAAAGTAATGAAGTGAAAAAGTACCGTATCATAGAATAAAAGGGGTGATTCTCGTGGGCGAAACGATCAACAAGCGAGCAAACAAGAGAGACTCCGCCTATGCAGAGCGCTACGTATCTATCATTAACCATCATCATCATCATCATCATCATCAATCATCAATCATATTGCGGTCACTGCGACGAATAAACGGCACTGCCGCTACGCACAATCGCTTCGCGCACTTTTTTTTTTCCTCTCCCATCCATTCCCCCGTGTTCTCCCGATCGCACAGACTTCGCACTTGGCCTCGGGATTTTGCCTTGCGTACTGGGTTTGGTAGGTAGCCGCCAGCAGGGAAGACCATACCATACATATCGCCTCAGAAAAATTACTCATTGTCAACCTGTTGCTGTTGCTCCAGTTGATCTTTCCCCTCCGTCGCCGTCGTCGCCGTCGTCGTCGAACCCAATGACTCTTTGGTCTCGGTGGGCTGAAGCCGGACTGGAACGGCACCCATGTATTTCCCCACCCGGAACAGATGCCAGCAACTATTGTTAGAATTTGCCGCCGTGTCAGCCTGCTTGCTCGCTGGTGGGGGAAGGGGGGGGGGGGGTTCAATGATGTGTAACGGTTTGGGGGGTAGAAAAATAAGGCGGAGGAGTGTAGGTTTTGCAACCAATGATAGGGGAGGAGAGGTGAAAAGTAGGCGGACGATTTAGGAGGCTTGCCTTGGCGCTTCCAGGACGTATCTTTGCATTGCCTCTCGGAATCGATGCTTGTATTCCCTCGGACTGGTGACTGTTGGTTTCTTCCCTCCACCGCCGGCGAATCCCTTTTCCTTGACCCAGCTCTCAAGTTTCTTGTCCCAGGTGAAGGTTCGGATGCAGTCTTGGTGTGGTGTGACGTCAGTACAGGGGTAAGAAGACTGAAATAGGGGGCCGGTAGGAAGAGGAAGAGAGGGGAAGACCGAAAGGTGTAAAAAGAGGATGGGGCCGGCCGAACAAGAGAGAGAGAGAGGGGGGGGTTACGTACCTATTATTCCAACGACCAACTCCTTCTTCGCCTCGTCGATTCCTATCATCAGAGAATAGTCCATGACGTTCTGTCGGGACAGAAATAGCGTATCATTCCACAAGGACGCACGGAGGAGCTTTTTCGAGTGCTCTCTCACAAACAGGGGGGACTCGTAAATGAACTCTACCATGTTCTCGTCGAGTAATACTTCGTTCTGGTCGCCCGTGGCATGAGTGTATCGATTACGCATGGATCCCTTGAGGTCGAATATTCGGGTGGTCTTGCGATCATAAAACAGATTCTCCATTACCAGGACGTCCCACTTAATATCGGTCCCAGTCGTTGCGTTCTTAATACATATCTGGTAAAATCCAAGCATCTTTGCGATTACAGTTGGGAGCTACGGCTCAGTTAGGTTAGCTATGCTCTGTGGTTACAAACTGTTAAAGGAAAGGGGGGCGGTGGTACTCACTTCGTGGAAGAAGGCTTGGGACATAAACTGGAAATATGCTGGTGCAAACTTGATGAATGCAGCCGTCTCGATAGGCGATAGCGCTTTCAACACGATTCTCTCATCTTGGGTTTTCAGAAATACCGACTTTGTCTTTCCGCCCTTGGAATCCCACTTGACACACCGGGACAAAGATTCGACATATCTATCTGCCACGCCGCAATTTTGTCGAAGAGCATCGAATTGCTCTGCATAAAATATCTTACAAAACATCTTCGCCGAGCCTTCTTGAAATTCTAGGGAGTGCGAATTATGTTAGTGCTGGGCTTGGACGCCGATCCCGAAAAAAGCCGAAAGAATGGGGGCGCACGGTATTTGAGGTGAGTGCCCGTCGTTTTCAGCAACGAGCGCTCGAGCTCAGGATGTTCCTTGCCGTCAAAGAGGTGACTGGGAAGTGCTTCCTCAGAGCTCTGAGGCCTTTCAGTGCCCAAGGTATCCGAATTACGAATGGAGTCTAGTTTTATCTCATAGTCTTGACTGTTGAGGGCGAAGGCGATCAGGGAACTTGGTTCATCCTCTCGAACAATGATGTCGGAATCGTTGAACACATGATCTGTTGGGTGTCTGGGTTCGATTCGTGTCAGTAACACATCCTGTACGGAGGTGTGCCGGAACCTACAATGGGTACTCCAACGATGACCAACCACTTGCAGAACGCTCGGCCCAGAAATTGGAGAGTGTTTTCATCCAAGCCCTCTTCTCCTGCAACGGTGTATCTAAGGGTGGCGGCAACGCGTCGGCGATGGAAGGAGGAGGAGGGACGGTCTCCGGATCACTTGTTAGGGATGCCTCATCACTCACGTCGGCGTCAGACTGAACTTGACTTGGCGGCGCAATCAGCTCTTCAGACTCTTCCGGGGGCTCACTTGGAGTTAAGGGTATGGCGTCCTCCGGCGAAAGAAGCTCTTCAGGAGATCTCAGAGTGACTGTTGACTCCGTGCTCTCGGTTAAATTGCTGAGACCTCTTCCTGGAGTGGGTACCTCGACGGGAGGCTCTTCGTCAGAGAGCTCTTCAACCGCCTCCCTGACGCTACGATATACCTCAACAACAGGTTTAGAAGTAGCTACTGGGAGAGCTCTGGAGCGCTTAGCTTGTTGCTGTTTTTTCTCTCTTGCTCTCTCCTTTTCGAACTCTCGGCTCAATTGCTCAAAGTGTTTGGCTAGATTTGAAACTTTTGACTCCCTGCGCTTGGGCGGTGGAATGGAGCGTGGTATCTGGGATTTCTCTTGTGTTTTCCTGGGTGTAAGAGATGCCAACCGAGTCTTTTCCGCGACCTTCTTATCAGCCCTGATTTTATCCTTTCCTCTAATCGAGTCGGGAGCCTTCTTGATTGGCATTGAGGTCGCGTACGTCAGGGGCCTCAAAATAGTACCAGATGGTCCAGTTGTTTCGGGTTTTCGTTGAGGAACGGCTGGAACAGAATGGGTGCGCCCGAAAGGGGGAGGCACCTTACGTCGCCCATCGACAGGTCTTGGTATTGAGGAATCTCGAACTAGGGCCACAATTGATGGACGATGGGCCGAGCCTTTTGTTGGGTCCACTTGAATCTCCTGATTGACTGCCTCGATGATGGATGGGATGCTTTGTGATTTAGGTCGTACCACAGCAGTAGGACTACTAGGTTCTGGGTTCTCAGATGAGGTTGCCTCCGGGAGTGAAGGGACGGCTTGCTCAAAGGGAAGCTCTTGCCCTGGGGTAGCGTCATCCAACGACTCCCGCCGACTCTCTGGGATGACTGTTGTTATGCTTGAAGCATCGGCATTGTCTTCATTCTTTTCTAAAGTCGCTCTGTTCTCTTTTGATGCGTCGTTTTTCGGGCTGCTCTCCGCATCTTCTTCAACAACTGAGGCTAATACGTCATGAGCTTGCTTGGAGGACATTTCTCCTGGCGTGGATTCAACTTCACTAGGTGTTGTGGTGCCGTCCACGGTTGCTGGTTTCCCTTCCTTACCTGGGGTGGGTGTTCGCTCGTTATCGGATTGTATTGCCGTGTTGGGATTATCAATGAATAACCTCTTGAGCTGGAGCGCAGCTAACCGTCGAATATCCTTCTCCGAAGGGAAATAGTCGTTGTCAAACGCACTGAACCTGGCGTCCCATTCCACAACCCTCTCTTGTAGAGCTCTCAGCGCTCGGTTCAGTGGTATAATCTCGAAGTACTTCGATTTGTTGTACTTTTCCTGTAGCTTCTTTATGAGCCAATTGTGCTCCGTATCAGCAGTTGCCTTTAGGGTCTCAATTTCGGCTTTGCATGCGTCTATTTTATCGGAGCTAACCGAGTTAACCTTGATGTCCCGGAGTCGTGAATTGACCGATGCAAAAAACCGATTCATTTTGTCCTCATATTGGGTATAACATTCGTTCTTTATTCGCAGGTCAATCTCGGGTTTATATGCGATTTTTGTCCGCGGCACAACGATTTCTAAAAGCTCTATTGGTTCATACTGAAAGAGGACCGTCAAGCCCCGGTACCCGAAGCATCGTACGTGGTCACGATTCAAATCGTGTACACAGCTGCCGGACTTGAGCTTCATCTCGGAGCTCCAAAAGGCAAGTTCAAGATATTTCCCAAAAGAATATTTCCAAGTGCTCTCTGACATGGGAATCGGGGGGCTAGACATGTCGGGGCAAATTTTGCAATAGCTCCACATTGAGATACTATCGTGCATTCCTTGTATGGGGCTCGGCATCTTATCGCGTACAAAGACGTTCACCCGTGCTTGACCGTGGACGTAAGAACGGTGATGGTCGATCATTTTCTTGTCGCAGGTGTCGCTATTGCAGGTTTTAAACGCCGTATCGCATAGATATTCGACGTATTGCCCGAGCGTGCAATCGGTTTGCTCGAGCGGCCAGTCTGGGTCCTGGACATAAAACTCCAGTCTACGTATCTCCGGCCCTTCGCAGGGCACCATTGTGATCGTGCAGACTAGGCTGTAAAGGATGGCAATATTCTGGTGAGCACATGGATCAAATAAATCGTCGTACTGGGCAAGGTAGTTCTCCCATTGCTTCTTTTGGGTTTCATAGACATATAACGCTTTATCGTATTCCGCATCGTGAATTGCTCGTAGAACTTCTGCCATTTTCTTCGTCATACCATTTTTAATATCCCCATGAACCATCTCGGGCTGGACTAGCTGAAAAACTTCCGGCGGCCCGGCCTTCCCCCCCTCGATTTTTTCGGTTGCCTGAGCATGAGCAGCCATATCCATTTCTGCTTCGGTCTCTGTTTCGGGCCCTTCCTCTTCTTCCTCAACTGGTTGAGAATCCTTCAATCTGCGAAGATATACAAGTCTTCTCTCCAATTCCCGCGCCCGCATGAGGAGATATGGTTGCATGTACTTCACGAAAGGAGAAGCAGACAGGACTTTTGTCTCATGATTGCGCACCATATCTTCGTAATACGTGGGCATAGGTATATCATCCGGCAGAAGGTCATCTGGCAATCTGCTCGAGATGCTCTGGGGTAAAGGCGGTGGAGGGCTGGTCGGCTGGTCGGGCTCGTCCTTCTCTTCCTCTCCATCGGGAATCACAGATTTTTCGGGATCCGCTGGCACCGGTTCGGGCGAGGCTGGGGGAGAGGGTTCAGGAACTTGTGGGGTTGGTTGTGCTGAGACGACTCCTGTAGCGGGTGTTGAAGGAATGTTGACAAATTCATCTCTCATCAAACAAGTCTCCAGCTTTAGATTGTATACTACATAAACCATCAATTCGGTAATTCTTTTGACGGTCGCAAGTGTCGTCATATCTCCACCTCTTAGAACAATTGTGCAACCAAGTTCTTTCGGACACCCGGAGAAATACATAAATGTCTTCTTCCGCCCCGGAATGTCGTCATGCACGAATGTCTTCACGTCGAAACTCGCGCATCGTCCTATTCTGTAAGACGGTAGAGCTAGTTTATCGATTGATGAGAAAATGTCGGCCTGGGCACATCTCGCGACTGCCTCGATGACTGATGGCTTTACAAGATGTGCAGTGGCTATGTTTGCTTGCGAGAGGAGTTGTAAGGCAACACCGGAAATGTTTTTCTCAACCAAAAGAAGAGTGGGTCGTAGAGCGATGATCCTGTTGACCATATTCTGAAGGAAGTCCTTTTCCTGCGCAATAACGGGCTCTAAACTCATGAGCTGCTGTTGGTGGCGCTGGTACTCAATAGGGAATGTGATGATAACTATTCGAGGCTGTGGGACACTTCTTGGCATGATCTTCAATGCTAGATTCTTTGTGAAAACCACGCCAGAAACGTAGGTCGTATCTCCGGGAGTGCCGCCGGGTATCCTCTTTACTTTGACGTAGTGCCTTATATCAATAGTATCTCCAACACGGACGTCAGGATTGAGATCATCAGTGCTTTTAAGAAGTATCGGCATGAGAGCTCTTTCCCACTTATCGACTTCCTTGATTTCTGAGTCTTTTAATAGCTGCCGTAAGAGAGTTCGCACATGATTCAAGCTCGCTGTATTGAGCTCGACCAAAGGCATCAGAGGCCCTCTCATTGAAGCAGTCCTAATTGCCCTAGGCGAGGGTATTGCGTTGGCCCCAGCACCAGAAAACAGGGAGGATTCGCCAACTGTTCCAACCAATGACCTCATTAAACGGTGCCCTTTTCCTGATCGTGTAGGCGGCCGTGGCTGCATATTGCCCAGAAAACTGGCACCACGTTTTCGCGTGGACCGTGCGGGATGGAGTAAGCTATTTTTCGGCGAACCGGGGTCTCCTGCGCCAATACCACCCGCCAGAATTGAAGCCATACCACCAGCACTCCCCGGGTTTCTTGACTTTGATTTGGAGGGGTTTGACGTCTTAGGCCCTGCCGAAGATGTGTTGTCACTCTGCGTGGTTGCCGCAAATGCATGAGCAGCTGTGCCGCTCCCAAAGCCCTCAGGGTATTTTGGGGCAATGGTGGCAAATATACTCATTTGATCTGGATCACTAATATCTTCGTCACTCATGTATGGGGCAAGATCGGGATCGATGATATTGTCAGAATGAAAAGCCGGAAGTCTCCGGTGCGACCCAAGCTCATCCACGGGGTTGCGGTGGAATGGTGCGCGCTCGTTGATAACGCTTGTGTTTCCAAGCCATCGGTGGGAGCGGGAGTGTTGTTTGTGGTGATGATTGTGATGGTGATGGTGGTGATGGTGGTGGTGGTGAGGGTGCCCGATAGGGTTTTTAAGGGACGCAGTTGCACCGGCCCGGGGCAAGGACACCTTCCCAGAGCGCACAGACGAGGGGCGGGGGGGAGAAGGCAATTCCGCATTAATCTCAAGAATTTGGGAGCGTCTATTTGGATTCTTTCCAGCCATCATTCTTGTCGCTGGAATAGCCATCAAGGGCGTTGTACCAAGCCGCATATCCTTGGGCATACTGAAGGGTGTCATTGGTTCACCTATTGGGGTAGCAGCAGCACTGTTAGATGGTGAGTTGCCAGTTGGTGTTCCATTGCGCTGGTCCATAGCTCGGCTATTATGAAAGACAGTGGAGGAAGAAAATTCGTCAGAGTCTGATTCATCCTGATAATCGTTCACGATGGCGAGGCAAGGGTTGCAGACACGCATGGATCCCTGATGGCCGAACCTTTCGCCGGTGATTAATGTTGTGCATTTGGAGCAGAATATTTGGCCGCATAATCCTATTGCGTACGTTCATCAGTTTCGTGGCCCTACTAATACCGGTAGTAATCGCCCGGAAGTAGGGGATATCATGGCCCAGACGTACGGCAATGATGCTTTCTTCTCCAAGCCGAAAACGTGTTCCCACATAGAAAACACTCCTTGCAAACTTCATCCTTCATCCAAAAGTCCCTTGTGAGATTTCCCATTCTCAATTGCCTTAATGCCTGGCTGACAGCCTCTGAATTACCAGCACCGGTGATGCCGGTATCACTGCTTATCCCAGCGTCATCGAAGCCCTGTCTATACACTGACGAATCGCCACTCTGCTTATGATTCCCGTCATTGGATGTTGCCGCGTGGCTTGATTCGGTGTCTGAGCTGGGCTCTCTAGTTATCTTGAAGCCAGGAAGGAGTTGGCTCTGGTCTGTGCTAATTCTCGAGACAGGAGGAGGTGGACGCTTTCTCCTCAGAGCTGGGTCGGGCAGAGGCTTTAGGTTTGGAGGCGGCAGCGAGAGATGTCCAGATGGGCCAGAGTTTTGCATTTGCTGTTGTAAAGCAGAGGAATGATTTTTCTCGAGTGGTTGTGGTAGACCAAGTGTTGAGCTTATAGTAGTGGGGTTGGTGGGGTTTGTGCCGGGGGGCGATGGGAGAGGAGTGTGAGAATTTGAAAACATCTGGTCCGAATCTAGCGATAGGCCAAGCCCGTTGATATCCCTTGCTGGAGGCGGCAGTAAGGTCGAGCCGTTAGATCTCGTCTTTGATAGCGAGTTAGTATCTCTGGAGATATTGGCGGGCGACTTGGAGGCTGTAGAGGCCGCCTTCCGGGAGCTTCTAAGTTGGGCAACGTCATGCCCGCCCGGTAGCCTAGAATTAAGTAGAACAAGATTGTCATCATCATCACTGCTATCAGTGATGGCCTCTTCATCTGTCATCACACTCCCAAATTCTTCATCTCCCACGAACAAACTGCCATCGTCCCGATCACGGTTATCTATGGTGGCGTCATCATCATTATCGTCGTCGTCGCCTCCGGCCGCACTCTGAATCGATACTGGAGGTTGCCCAGCTGTTCCCGCTATTACCGTTCCTGTTGCCCCTAAGAGTGCATTCACAGTCGGATTCTGTGGGTCCTTCCCCTTCCACTTCCCTTCTGGTTTTTGGGGACTGCCGGAGATATCCTGACGACCAACAACCGTATTTCCGATGGGCTCTCCTCCCGAAGCATACCCAGAAACATCCCTATATACAGTGACAGGCGCCAGGGAAGGCACCGTTACCCCATTTGCTAACAGGTTAACCTTGCGCAGAGCAGCTGGGGGGGCGAAAAGACCAGCAGAGCTCGTGTCTATGGAGGAACTGTTGCTCGACACTCGTGACCCGGATTTAGGAGATGAGCCCGAGGTATATCTAGATTTTTTGCCTGCAAGCGGAAGTTGGAACTTTGTAGGAGATAGGGGTGGTGTAGGCGCGCCTCTGCCGGAGGGCTCGTCGGAAGCCCCGGACAGGAATGAATCCCTGCTCCCGGCATTGCCACGGTAGCTCTCGCTGCCAACATCTCCACATCGATCCGAGCCTCCACTTTGTACCCCGACCGCATCCCGCACTGCTGCAGCCACACTTTTGACACGAGAGTAAAGCCCTCCGAGGAGTAACTGCTCGGTGGAAGCACTGGGTGGCGATGCGAGGGAAAAGGATGTCAGACCGGGGGTTTGGCACGAAGAGGCATGGATCTGTTCTAAATCTGCCGGGGGTGAGGAAAAATCGAGAAGTGTTTGGGATAATGATAACGAGCCACGCCGACGGGAACTCCAATTGCCGACATGTTCTGGTATTGTAGTGGAAGAACGGAATGGTGAGTAGGAGCTTCTGGGAGAGTCTGCCATTCCTATTGCGCGTTAAGATCAATGCAGGTAAACGGGGGGTTGGTTCCCGGATCGGGTTCCAGAAAGTGGGTTGGCGGGTGATGGAAATACTTAATAGCTATGCGGCTCTGGTGGGCAGCGGGCGAGGTAGGTGCTTTAGGTGGTGTCGTGGGCTCCGGGGTTGTGATTCCGGAATATTTGTAAGTCTCACCGGAAGTTCCTGCTGCGAGAGTGCCTCCTGATTGACTACCGCGGGTGGCGCGGGCATGTGAATTAAACACGAGAAGATGAGGAAATGTGAAAGAGGGGCTCTGGCGAATAGTATGTCGGAATGAAGGCTCTGATGTAATAATATTATGCACAAAATGGTTTCTTTCTGTGGGGTCCAGCTACCGTAGTGTTGCGAGGGAAAGAGTGAATAGAAAGTACTGTGGATAGCACTTCTTATGGATGATTGACATGGGTTTGCACCCACTTCTCCTCATTAGATGGAGGGGGTGAAGAGCGACTGACTTTGAGATAACTGTCGGGGGGGGGGGGGGTTGATGGAAAATGCGGGCTCATGGACCCTGGCGATACGTGCTTGGCACGGTAGTTTTCTCCTCCGCCTTTGTCCGTTGTCGGCTCCTTGCTATCGGATTTCATAAGGGCCAGGGAGCTGGAGCTGTCACTCATACTTTGGCGGACGATAGCCTGATTTCCCCCGCATCAGTTATGTAGCTCATTCTGAACAGAGCAATCGAGATTATGTCCACATGACCCGTAACTTGTGAGGGAACGGTGCAGAATGGTCTCACTTATGGGGAATTGGACCCGAGAAGGTTTGCCTGATAAGATGATATTTCAGAAATCCCGCAGGATATGATATAGGGCAAGCAACCCCCAGCCCACCCAGGGAAGCGTTTAAGTTACCGGTGACGCCTGTATTCAAGTGGAGGGATCGAGGCCATGAACGGTGTTCCTCTGCGGCTCGAACAGCCTTGGAGAGCTCAGTGCCTTGTCGCTGGACCAATAAAGGCTCGCAAAGCTTTCGCGGAACCTCTTCTCCTTCCCAGGGTCAATGGGTCTAGCCGCAGACTAGAATCGACTATTCATTGGGAATGTCCATGGAGTACGGTAAGCTAGGAGTATCTAGGTGCTTGGGCGCAGTGCCGGTACCCACGATTGAAATCGGGCCATATGGTACTCGAGTACTCGGGAACGTGCAGATGCCGTGCCTTCAATAACGCTGAGCGCTGTATAGTACCGGTGCTCGAGTGTCTTACCGATAGTCTACGAGAGTACAAGTATCATTGAGTGTAACACGGTACCATTAAGGGTTGCAGCGCCACCGCCACCGGCTCTGGTCTTGCTAGCACTCGTACTTGTACGAGTACAATGCTCGTAGGTTGTATGTACTCGGGGGGCTCGTTAAAAACCGGAAAGGGGGGTATCCCTGTTTGGATAGCTGAGCATCAAGAAATCAAGAAAACTTGGAAAGAATAATGGGGATCAGTTTTCAATAAACTAGTAGGATAAAAAAAGCAATCACAGAACCGATGAGGATCAGGGATAAGTAGAGTTAGAGGCCTGGATGTGACTAGAAAGGATGCTTCTTCCTTAAGGAATTTTGTCCTTGAGCATGACCATGATACAAGTAGTACGAGTACTAGCACTTTGCCTATCACTCAGCGCAACCAGTGTTGTTTTAAGGTGTCTCATACCACCGTCTCTCTTTCCAGACATTGGATCGTCCGATTACTTTGGGCCCTGATTCACCACGGGTAGTTTCCGATTTTTAATATACCCCCCCCGAGTATGTAGTTTTTTGTTTTTTGTTAAATCCTAGAATTTATTTGCTTAAATAGGTGCAAACCTCCGCTTTAAAGGTGCAACCCGGCTAAAACATGGATCCTCCCACCAGGGCACCTCTGTAATAA